TTCAAACGGCACTGCGCGCGTCTCGCCGGCTGGAACTCGGAATATATGGGCCTCAACCAGTTCCCGTCGCTGCCGGACAAGTTCGATCCCACGCCGTATATCAACACGACTCGCGAGGACGAGAAGACGGAGTACTACTTCGAGCACTGCCTACCGACGACGGAGCAGATTGTCGAGCGGCTACGTAAGGTGCGGGAGGACCACCCGAGCTTGAGCCGCGTCTACCTCCTCACGAACGGGTGGGGCTGGTGGCTTAGCGGGCTCAAGGACGCGCTGCGCGAGGATGGATGGGCGGACGCGACAAGTTCGCTTGACATTCAGCTCGACGCTGCGCAGAGCTACGTCGGTATGGCCGTTGACATGGCCATTGCTGAAAAGGCGGAGGTGTTCGTAGGGAAATGGGGTGAGTCGGGCATCATCTTCCTTTCGCAACACATGCTGACATTGATGCTATCCCAATTTTCGAGTCTGTCATCGAACGTGGTCATGTTGCGTATGGTGAAGGGCCTGGAGCCGGCGTCCAATCGGTTCCTGTAGAGTCGTTATGTTTTCTGCATCGCATTGTATCAATAAGTTATGTATGGATCCCGATACCAGCTATAATATCACTATGTACATTCACAAAAGACCGATTGTGTGAGGTGGGTACATGGGACGTCTGCATTTTGGTGGACTCGACAACAGTGCAGAGGTGTCTGTCCACCTAGTGCAGCGGAACAATCGGTGTTGCAGCTGAGGCAAGGGCTGAGGACGGGGAGAGGCAAGGAGACATTCATGGATAACCAGTGGTTGGGGGAAGGAAGGGTGGCTGGAAAGGGAATGAATAGATTGTGGAAACATGTCCCTATTGAAACACCCAGGTTCTGTGATGAAGAGTTATGGAGGCAGCAGCACGCACAGTGCGCCCTACACAACTCACCTGTATTGGTTGGATGCTGTAGCTACTGGTAAAGCTCGTATAAACGACCCTTGTCATTAGGCAGCAGAGCTGCAGGGTTTATATACACAGTGGCCCATAGGCTGACTAAGCTACGTGGAATATCTATAATCCTACTGAGCTCCACCTATGATGTCACTGACCCACATGAGCTCCGTGCCCTTGTACAATAATGGAATATACCAGAATGTTCCAGAGGGTTCCGGTACGTTCTGGTACGTTGTAGAACCTGGCAGCTAAGTCAGCGCCTAGTTCAACACTCCCCCTCGCTAAGTGCCGCGGGTAATCGCGCACGCAAGCGTTGGGCTGACTTAGATTACTTGTAGAACCTAAGTCCGAGTTGCGCTCTGAAGCGCAAGAACTTGACATGTCCTAAGTTCTTAGTGAACATGTCTGCAGGGTTATTCTCGCCATCGATGTAGAATACTTCAACCTTCTTCTGCTCGATGACTTCCCTGATATAGTGATAGCGAATGTCAATATGTTTAGACCTTCGCTCGGTGACTGGATTAGACGCAAGGAAGATAGATCCTTGGTTGTCACCACAAATAGGAAATGGGCCGAGTTGGTAGCCTAACTCTTCAAAGAGTTGTCTAACCCATACACATTGGCGGCTACAATCACTGAGCGCCATGTACTCGGCTTCAGTGGAGGATAGCGCAACAGTTTTCTGCGCTCTCGACTGCCAACTGAATATACCATTGGCTAATTTAAGGAAGTAGCCGGTTTGGGACTTCCTGGTACTGGGGTCTGATGCCCAGTCCGAATCAGTGCACGCAGTAATACCAAGTCCACTAGCACCATCAAAAGCTAGTGTGTAATTACGAGTCCCGATTAGATAGTGGCAGATATACAGCGCTTTGTCTAAATGGACTTGAGATGGATTAGCAGCAAATTGCGCTAACTTGGTAACTGCATAGCTGATGTCTGGTCGAGTTCCAAGCATAATGTAGAGTAAGGAACCGATCACAGTTTGGAACCGGCTACGAAGAGTAGGATTGACGGGGCCATTGTGAGGCTCAGGTCGATAGCCTGCAGGGAGAGGAGTTGGGTTAGGGAGGCACTTGACGACGAGCGCAGCGAGTCGGAGAGTGACTAGAGTTAGCGAAACTAGCAGACAACGGGCTAGTTCTCTGGGGAACTAAGCCTCTACCCGTTTCGCATTTTATGCTCTTCAGGTCTGCATAGTATTTTGAAATTTGACGGGCCGCTAAGTCAGTGTGCACGACTAAGCGGAAGTACTTCCCGTAGCTCCGAGCCGATGCCGTCGGCTGCCGAGCAGCCGAGGGACAAAGGCCCTACCTTTCTGGACATTTCAAATTACGGAGAAACTTTACCTCTGTAATTCTTCGAAAGGGATTGGTTGTTCTAAATAAAACCTTGTACGCGTCAGCGATACTGTGCGAACGGCATACCGGCACGGTTAAGTGCCGGATTCATGTGATATCGGCTTGCCATGCCGACTCCGAGGTTTCCCCTTGCCGGGAACCACATGATGATGCCGCCAACGGATTCTTTG